CCCAAGAGATTGACATCAGAAAGTCAAAGCCAAAGCCTTTGCTAATCATCATCCCCAAGAGAATGGAGCTAATTGCAACCCAGATAGGAGGTCCTGCCCCATTGCCTTGTCCACATCCTTGAAATGGGATTAGGGTCGGAGGGGTAAAGACACGGTCTGAATCGCCAAACCCCGTACGCACCCGGTGCTTAGACTTCATCAGTGTATCAAACATGGAGCGAAGGGTACGCCATTGAATCCCAAAGCGCATGAGGCTAATGATTGCCACCCAGTGGACAATCCGGTCAAAGCAGGACTTGGCATTGTTGGAGATCCACCCGGCCGGGCGGCGTTGAAGATGCAAGAGGTCCCAAGTGAGACGCTTCGTCAGGGCCAAATCGATGGCCTGGTGACGCTTGCGAGACCCATGTTGTGCCTTTGGGATCAAGTTGTGCTGCTCTGCATAGGCCATGGCCGATTTCCCCACTCTCTTGTTGTTGGCCTGCAGCTCTGAATTCATCATTTGGATCGTGCGCATGAGGTCCACCCGAATCTTGCCTGGTTTCTTCTCAATTGCAAAGTTGAGCAAGTGGCACCACTGGGCTGGGACAAATCCTGTAGCAAAAGGGATGGAGCGAAAGATTGTGTCGCAGCAGGCAAGCAAGTTGGATGCTACTCCCGCTTTGAAATGGCCATTATGCAAGCCGTGTGGCTCCGAACCTTTGTGTTCCCCCATCTTACGCCAGAAGCTAACATGGTCCTCCAGATCCACTTCCAGTGGTTGGTCTTCCAAGCCCTCCGGCCGTCGGCAATGGTCCAGGAATGACACCAGGTAAGGATCCGCTGCCTCGCCTTCATAGAGACCACAGAGCAGTGCTTGGCTGTTACTTTTGGCATTGGGGCCATTGAAGTCGGAGTACAAAGGTTCAGTCATGGGTGGAGTGGAGTAGGGGTAGACTGTGACGACAAGTATGTCTTCATGGACCAAGCTGGAGAGTTGTACAGAAATCCAGCTGTTGTGAGACTTTTCAAGTCATATGGATACAATGTTCGACCCACCGGTGCTGATGCATGCAACCAAAACGGCCCTGTAGAACGAGCCCATCGGACAGTCGCGAATGCTGTACGATCCCTTCTGATTGGAGCCAACCTGGATGTCAAGTTTTGGCCGTATGCCTTTCATCATTGGCTGCGAATCGACAATGCCGTACCATCTTGTGATCAAGACAGCTCTCCCATCCTACTTTTGGGGGGAACTCAACCGGACTTCTCGGGTCTCCGTACTTTCGGATGTCGCGTTTGGGTTTGTCCACCTGGACGACGCACCAAGAAGTTCCAATCCAGTTCTCGCAAAGGAATCTTCCTGGGATATATTCCAAACACCACTAGGAACATCCTATGGTTTGATCCGGAAACCAATCACGCTTTGATGAGGGAATGAACGACTTACCTGCTACCACCATCCCGCCAAATGTTGTCCACCTACAGCGAGTTCAACATGATGCCCTACCTGCTGACACAAATGACGACCTCTCTGTGACGCCCTTCGAATCACATGCCGACCCCTTCACCAAGAAATTCACCACCAGGATACGCCGCCAGTGCCGAAGCCCTACTTTTGGCGTTAAATTGAGTAGCAAGGTACAAGAGATTCGGGACGAAAACGAGTACGATGACAAACATGGGGATTTTACAAGATGTGTGCGAATCTCTAGGTTAAACTATCTAAACGTACGAATGACGGACACTCTCTGGTCCAATTAACGGTCCCCTCAAGGTGATACTGATGTATCAGAGAACCTTGTACTCCGAATTGGGCTAATATCAACCGTACCCTCAACGTGCATGAAACTGTTGTGATGGATCCAAGCGTTCTGCACCTACCCTGCACAAAATCGCCAAAACCCACTCCTCCTGTGTCGAACAACCCATTCAGCGATTATTTTTTGCGATTTCAGCGAATCTCAATTATCGTTTGTTCGCAGGTGATGCACAGGACGCGTATGCACATTCTCCGGCACCAAGCACTCCAACATATGTATCCATTGATGATGCACGCCAAGTGGCACTACATCAAGTACAAAGTCCGATTGGAACGTGATATGGTACTACCTGTCCTCCATGCTCTACAAGGTCATCCAGAAAGTGGACGTTGTTGGGAGTCCCACATCAACAAGATTCTGAGCATGCCTGATCTTCAATTCAAATCGACCACCCACGACCGTTGCATCTACCGTGCCACCTACGAAGGCATCCCAATCTATCTTCTTTGTCAAGTCGATGATTTTGCCTTGGCTGCGTCTAATGAAGACATTGCCAAAGCGATCTACAAACGCATTGGGAACCATCTCAAACTGCCTTCCGAGACAACCGTTCCTATCAAGTACCTGGGACCCCTCACCGAATTCAATGGTGTTGATGTGACCCAGTACAACGATTCCATTGTTGTCTCTTGCCACAACTACATTGATCGTGTGCTCAAGACTCACTCCTGGACCACGCCGGCTCCAAACAAATCCAAGTACGCCGGGTCTCCACTTCCAACTGATTGTATCTCTCAGTTATACAGTGAACCTGGCTATGCCAAAGCTAGCCCAGAACATTCCAAACTGATTAAGAAACACAACTTTGGATACCGCCAACTTCCTGGTGAATTGTTGTATGCATATGTCACTTGCCGTCCCGACATCGGTTATGCAGTCATCACACTTAGCAAATTCGCTTCCAAACCAGGTGATTTCCATTTTCACATGTTGAAACATGTGGCCATCTACCTTCGCCGCACCAAACATTGGGGTATCATCTATCATCGGCCTTTACTTGACCTACAGGAACCACAATTGCCGCCCAACCCACAACCTGGAGCCTCTGTTGACTCGTCGCTACCGGACTTTCCTTCGATTGATCCACACACTCTCACCTGCTTTGTTGACGCTGCCCATGGCAACAATCTTGACACCCGTCGATCCACAACAGGGTATGGATTGGTATTAGCGGGTGGATGTGTATCCTACCGGTGCAAGACACAAACTGCCACCGCCACCAGCTCCATGGAAGCCGAATTCTATGCCGCCGTATCCGTCGCCAAGCAAGCTAAGTACCTCCGCGCCGTCCTTACGGAACTTGGATTCCAACCCTCCAGTCCCACCATCCTCTTCTGTGACAATGAATCAACCATCAAAATGGTCTACTCCCGCATTCCTACGGAACGCTCCCATTACATTTGAATCCAATGGTTTGCCATTCAAGACTGGCATGATCAAGGACACATTGTTCTACATCACATCCCTGGTATCATCAATCCTGCTGATGATCTCACCAAGCCTCTTGGATGGGTACTCCATTTTCGACATGCACGTTGATTGATGGGACACTACTAATAGTTTACACCTCTTGCGCATTGTGATGATGACTACCGTCATCAGGGGAGAGTGTTGTGCAAGGTCCACCCAGTCATATGTATGACGAACAGACTGACATGTCGATCGGTCGATTTCCTTGAAATCCTTCATAGAATAAACTAGCTCATTCATCTACATTTGCATTGCATTAGGATTTAGTCATATCTGCTAGTACAACAATTTACGTCAACCTAAGGACAGGGATCCTAGTTGTAACAATGATTCGGAGATTCAAGAGTTGATAGCATCCCTTCCCCCACTGATTGACTTTGGTCATGACTTGGTTGCTATCGGCTACGATTATAATTCAACTAAGATTTCGTTTGGCAACTCCATTTTCAATCAATGGATGGAAAATCAGAACGATCGGTGGACCCAAGCGCTCCCAAGGTTTGACAGCCCGTTCAAGGACCTCTACGCTAACTATTCAGTTGAAGTCAGGGTCAACATGCTATTCGCTCAATATGCGAACGATTGGCGGCGAGTGTTGAAATTCTTAATCACATTTTTTGATGATGATTCTCTGTGTAGTGTGGACAAGAATACGGAATACATATGGGGGGTGAGAGCAATTGCTTGCAAGTCGCTCAGCAGATCCCGTTTTCCTTTTTCAATCTTGGCCTTGTGAACGATGCAAAAGTGTCACAAGAAGATCTGTATTTTTCGAGAGACGATCTGACTAATCCTGCCTTACAAAATGAGACTCCTCTGGTGCAGTTTTGGTTGATGTGCGCGTCCATATTTGACCATCCATGGACGATGCTTTTTGATGAATTTCTCGAGGAATCCCCAATCCCTTGCATTCAAGAAACAAAACGGAAGGTGATTGAGGGATTTCCCAACAACGAAACTAATAAGGTGGAGATTCACAAGGGGGTCAAAAAGATATTTGATCCTGATTACGAGGATTCTGAGGAGGAAGACGATCCGACGGGTGACAAGGACACTGGCCTTGTCAATAAGTTCGGCCAACCCGATGGGTGGGACTCTGACGAGACAGTGGACTACAACTCCAACGACAGGAGGAAAGACATGGACATAGACGTCGATTTTGGCGATGATGGCTGCTACGACGACGACAATGACAAGGATGATGTGGAGGAGGATGACAATGATGCTGACAAATCGTCCAAGGATTCTGTCATTCTTGTGGAAAGTACCTACCAGACTACGGACAAAGATAGTGACAATGACAACAACAACATGGGCCTGAATACCAATGAGGCAGTTTCCGAACTGACCGGCGTCACTGGTGAAGACAAGGATCCCAAATTGGCATCCCCCCCAAGGAAGAAGGGACGGTCCCACAGGGTTTCCTTGGTCGCTCATTCAACAGAAATGGAGGTGGACGGGAGCTCTTTCAGTGAATCCGGTGCTAAACGTACACATTCAGCGTCTACCTCACAACCAACCAAAAAACCAGCACAGAAAACTGACACTACCTCCACAAAGAAAAGCTCTAAAGCCAAACATAGACTTCAACGCAGCTTGACATTGGAAGAACGCCTAGATGGGTTGCGCCAAGTCAACTTGGACGGCATGGACGGCCGGCCTCTCTTGGTTGAACTGGGAATGGCGTACAACTACCAAGGCCAACAAGGGGGAACACGACCCATGCCTCTATTATCTTGAACCATATTCTCCGTACGTTGGCAGACGTCCTAAAGAACGCGGAGGAGACAATTCGCTTTCTTCCCTTGTCTGACAGCTCTTATAAGAAGTCTCAGCAGTGGATCCGAACGGAAGTGGACCTTCGGCGGCTGATTCCCGATTACCATAGTTTGTCCAAGTATCTGGACATGTCATTCGGCAATATGTCATATGCTTCAACTTCTACCAAGTCGGGTGAAAAGAAGCTTCGTACAAGGATGAGAGTGGGTTTTGAGGTCAAGGTGTCGGCAGGAACAATTTGACAGTACTTACATAGCGAATTGCGGCCGCAAGGGTATGGAGCAGGGTGCTACGAATCAGTCCTACAGTTTGGTGATATCGAAAAGGTTGGGGCCTTGTGTTTCTACCCTCAGGAAATTAACATTAGGGCTATGGAGAAAGAACTAATGCGGCACTTTGATTGGAAGATGGTTATCGGCCTGCGGTACGAATGGGTGAACATCCCCTACAAAGGCCGCAGTAAGTGGAACAAACGATCGTCCGGGTGCATGATGTGGCATGTTTACGTTAGATCGAGGGATGCTAAGCGAGCGGATCGAGAACTACGCTTATGGCTTCACCCCTCTACCCCCAAGAAAGATTTTCCATGGTGCGCTGTCACCCACTACATCAGTGATTGGAAGGCTGCTCAGAATGGGACAATCAGCGTTACTGGACTGGTTCCATTCTTTACACATCATTTGGGGGAGTTGACGACTACTCAAGCCAATAGGGTGATTGCGAAGTGGCTGTCCATATCTCTGATCCATACGACACGCCGCAAGGAACTTGTGTGGTGCTTGGAGACTTTACGGGCTCGACCATCGGACCAAACTCTACAAGGCATTGACAAAGCCATCACCTTCTTGGTGTGAATTGAGAAGTAAAACGATCTGGAAAGGGCAATTGTGCGCTCAATCCCGCAGTTCTACACCAACACATCAGGCAACGAGGCTTCTGCCGTGCAACAGTGGGTTCAGGCGTATTGTTTTATTTGTTGTTGTGTTGATATAGTTGAAAATTTTGTTCTGGTTCCGACCTTGTTGTGTGGACCATCCAATTGGGGATCTGTCCAAAGAATGATCAATGGATGGTGGAAATGCCCTTGTCAACAAATTCCATGGGATCATTGCTTGGATTGAGTTTTGTGGTGAAGGGGGCGATGGGTGGCTGTCCTTTCAGTGCGCCACCCTCGGCGATTTTGGAAGGAGTGGGCTGTGTTGGAATTGCTCTCTTGGAGACCGTTCATTGGAAACTCCTTGATAGAAGCAGTTTGACACGTCCGATCGGACAGACGGACAAATGTCCGTTTGGTCCGTTTTATTCGGGGGATTCCTATGAGTCGGTTTTGCAAGGAATGGAATTGTGCGCTTGGACTATCAAACTGTCTGAGCGCCACAAAAATCCCATACTGAATCCTGCGGGAGTTCGGTACGTGGGTTTTGTACCAGCCTTTCTGGATCGCAAACATCCAGTAAAGGTTTGGGAAATTTGAGTTTTCGTGCAAGGTTTTTGCTTTGCCCATTCCATGTAGATAACAAGTCTTTTAGAACAGTTATTTCTGTAGAGATGATTTTTTTCCTATTAGGCGGATCGGAGATCGCTATGGTCGGTGCCTATGCGTGATGACTTGATGGGTTGCATGCTGGCACGGCTGGTTGGCAATTATGGCTTGATGGGCCACAACGTCGTCAATCGTTTTGGACGAAGACAAGCAGTCTGATGTCCGCCAGAACCGATCTCCAATAGGTTGCTTATGTCGGCTCTTGGGAGGTATCAAAGCATGCCAAACGATTTCAACCAGTTCCATGGGATCATCACTTGGATTATCCTTTACCAAGTCAACCGTCAGTTGGGTGGTCGGATTATAACAGTTTTCTTCCTCCAGGCCTCCCTGACCTTGATCAGTTGCAGCCTTTGTCGAGTTCAGAGCCATCTCATTTGATTGATCATCATCAGAGCCCATGGTTGAAGTCCTCAATCAAGCACTTTTACAAGCAAAACTGGCGTCGCTACACTGTCATTGCGTAGATAAAGTACTAGAGAAGATGACTTTTTGTTTTGCAAAATGCGCGTTTTTTGTTGTTGTTGAAAATTGGGGTATCATTGACCGCTGGCCTTTGACCTCCAGGAACCACAATTGCCGCCCAGCCCACAACCTGGAGCCTCTGTTGACTCGTTGCTACCAGACAATGAATCGACCATCAAAATGGTCAACTCCCGCATTCCTACGGAACGCTCCTGTTACATTTGCATCCAATGGTTTGCCATTCAAGACTGGCATGATCAAGGACACATTGTTCTACATCACATCCCTGGTATCATCAATCCTGCTGATGATCTCACCAAGCCTCTTGGATGGGTACTCCATTCTCGACATGCACGTTGATTGATGGGACACTACTACTAGTTTACACCGCTTGCACATTGTGATGATGACTACCGCCATCAGGGGAGAGTGTTGTGCAAGGTCCACCCAGTCATATGTATGACGAACAGACTGACATGTCGATCGATCGATTTCCTTGAAATCCTTCATAGGAAAAACTAGCTCATTCATCTACATTTGCATTGCATTAGGATTTAGTCATATCTGCTAGTACGACAGGAATAGAGCGAAGGACTACATGACAGGAGTATAAGATTCCTACAAAATTTGAAAAATATTGTATGAATTAGAAAGATTGTGCCGCATTTACTTTCGTTTACGCAATCCAGTAGACGTCTCATTAGTCCCGGTAGTTTCCGTGTTCCTAGAGGCTTCAAGAAACTTCGCAACGTCTGTGTTGCCTTCTGACTTGGCCATTTCGAGCGGCACTTTGCCATCTTTGTCCTTCACAGATATAAGGGATTCATCTTTCACTAGCTCTCTGGCCGCTTCTACAGAGCCGTGAAAGGCTGCCCAGTGTAGAGAGTTCCATCCTTCGCCATCAACGATTCTTGGATCTGCACCGATTTCAATCAGCTGCCGAATTGCATCACGGACACCCGATGCGTTCAGTCCGGAAAGAACCATGAGTGGAGTCCAGCTACTCTCACTTGTTTTGAAATTGCAATTCTGCTTGTTGACTGCAGCCAGGAGCTTGCCAACATCAGCTTTGTTCCCCGCATCCCAAGTGTCCAACAAGAGATCTTCGAAGCTAGCAGACACTCTTCCTTCGCGAGTCTGCCGTGGGACAGGATTACCAGATTCATCAACAATTTCATCTGCATCTGTCAACTCAGCTGCTGCTTTCTCACTGAATATTTTGTCTTCGCGACGCAAACCATTGCCAAAGACAAGCGCTTTTACCAAAGGATTCTCGAGTAGATTAATTGGTCCCATAATCGTTTGGATAGCTAACCCCACAACCATCCCCTTGTAGAGATGTAGCCCCACCGTCATACATATCCCAAAAAGAGTACTTCCCAAGAGAGACCGAGCTGTCGAAACTAGGTGGGTCCCATACTTTACCTCGGTGTACTTTTTTTTCCCATTCGGATCAGCGAATGGCTATAGATTTTGAATTTAAAATGTGTGTTAGAATACAGTGCATCGACACAAAAAACAGACAGACAAATCATCATACCTGCGGCGGAGGGGGGACATAAATCGTTCCTTGCGCTTTCTGTGCTGCTGCTGTTGACCGAATATAGGTAAATAAGACGAGTAGTACGCAACAGGCTTGGATTCCTCCGTAAGCCAATCTCAGCAAGTTCACAACCTTGGGGTCTTCTCCGTCAAGCTTGCGCGCCGCAAGCATAACCGGCAACATGATGAATAATTTCGTTGAAGACATGTTCTAAGGATCCCTGTAGAGTCGATAATATTGATTTTGAAAGTCGACGCCATCTTCAGCAAAGCTGCAGAGACGAGCAACGTACAGGAGCGGCCTTTAACTGAAATTTGGGGGGTATTAGGCTCCGATTGGGGGACAAAAGACGAGGGGAAGGAAAAACTCTAGCCATCGCGTCTACTTCAGTACTTAGATAGGCGCATACTACCGTACATTTGAAATTTAATGAAAGTTGGGAAAACAAAAAAACGTAAAACCATGTAAGAAAATACTTGAATATATAGTCTATACCAGGGATATCCCGCAGTTTTCTGTGAAGCCAGCTTTCTCTTTTTTTTGGAGAGTCGATGTGGTCATTTTCACCCTCTTCTGCACGAAACTTCAAAAATCGATTTTCACTTATTGCCTGCCAGAAAGAAACTTCTACGACAAGGAATTTTATAAATGTTCACAATGCCGTTAAGTATTCAACTTCATTCGCCAGATTAAATTTTTTAAAGTTTGTTTTATTTTTACAGCAATTGCGGAACATCTGTAATGACCCCAAAAAAACCTGTAATTTTTTCACAGAAGTTTCGGAACATCTGTGAAAAATTCACAGAGATTTCGGAACATCTCTTGCATCAGCTCGAAGGGCAGACGGACGGCGCCAACCAAAAGATATCGGGACTACTTGGAGATTCCGGTATTGCACGCGTGCGCCCGTCAAGTCGGTACCGCTCTACTAAAGCCACGCCGGAAGCACTGCCAAAAATTGAAGGATGAAACTGCCATTCTCTTTCTACCCGAGTAGTGCTCGAGTATACTAGACAACAACACGAGGACAAGTGCACTGGTCTATCGGTTTCAGGCTTCAAATAGTACATTTGAAGTTATC